GGAAAAAGGAGTTGGTAGCAGCTCGTCGTACCACACAAACAGCGTCGCTGTATCTCGGAGAATGGCCCGGTGCTGTTGTGAGTGCTCGGCGCCCCACAGCCTGACGTGACGGGAACATCTGGGAGAACCGCGGCATTTTAACTTTTACCTGCATGTCTCCTTCCCTCCTGGAAGTACAACAAATAAGAGCGATGCTTAGTATTGCACGTGTCTGTCCCACATCACTGGAGTTTTTTAGTGGCATCGTGCATCAGAATGTAAATTCTCACCTTATTGTTCCCAATGGCTTTTCTTTCCTGTGTTTTTAACCCCTTGTTAGTAATAATTCCTGACTGTTAGTTAAGAGGCCTGGCAATGGGCTAGAATCCTGTTAGAATGGCCACTGCAGAAATACAGGTTGGAAATGACTGTCGTTGCTGCTGAAGTTTTACTTTGCAAAAAAAGATACGCAAGCATGGTTAGTGCCATATACAACGAGGCTCTACTGGTCAGCATGCTTTTCCTATATGCCCAGCGTTTCTGTAGCTTAGACTGTTTTCTTTCTCTGTTAGCTGCATGTCAGAAAAGTTCTGTGGAGTGCTTCGAAAGACAGCCATGAAGGTAACACTTATACAGTCTTCCTCCTAGACTGGAGGAGTAGTGTGAGAGGAAAACAAAAATGTTTGCAAGAAAAATATCTAATGATATGAAGGAAAATGTGAAATAAGCCAAGAAGAGTTGGAGTGTGACCTTCCAGCACTGAATGAGAGATGATAGATAGCGTGGGGATAGGTTGTGGAGTGACTTGAAAGCAGTTAATTATCACCGTCCTAGAATATAATTATAGAAGCGCTCTAAATAGATGTAAAGAAAAAAAAGTGCACTCCTTAAGTTTGAGAAAATAATGTTAAGATTCAAGATGCGTGGTTTAGGTGTTCAGATATAATTTATTTGACAAGTTGATGTTGTGTATTTTCCTAGAAATATTCTGCTTTCTGCATGAATACCCACAACTATGTGTATTTTGGGTCTCAGTGAAGCCATACAGGGTTTTTTTAGAACCTTCTGTTAATTTTTCAAAATCTTCTATTAGCAGCTTAGGTGAACTGTAGTCCATATAACATTTTACAGATCTCAGGAGATCACCTTTTTTGAGGTTTATGGCAGGACTGCTATCTTGCAGCTGGTTCTGAACAGGCAAACCTTCCTGGCAAAGCCTTATTTGACGCTGGTGGTAGTCTATTGATTCACATCCAGCTGGTGCCTAGGTTAGGTGGGAAAGAGTATTGCTCTGACACTAAAAAACATACAAAGCTTGTTTAAATTTGAATGAGTTTGTGTTCTTGCAGTGCTGATTGATTTTTCTTCTCCATTCAATCCTATCTTTTAATTTAGGATACTGTTACATTAAGTCTATGGCAATATATAATGAAAGAATTTATCAAAAGAAGTGTGAGGATTCTAGAATTACCCAGACAAGATAAATTGTGTCAAATGAGCTAGTTCTAAAATGGCTAAAATATTACTCTATGTCAGGCTGCAGACTATAGGTAGACAGAGACATTAAAAAGTTTTACTTTCTTTGTATCAGTTTGACACCTGTCATGTATGATTAAGTATTGTATCTCTGATCAGTCCATAACATGAAGGTCCATTTACATAAGTTCTTCTGGTATTAGTTTCAAGAGCTACCTTATGATGCTCGTAATCATGTTACAAAGGTCATAAAATACTAGACTTTGAACCAGTTATTGAGACTGATTGAGGCACTTTCTTTACTTGAACTTGAGAAAATAAAATTTGAAGTGGGAGGGGGGAAAAAAAGGAAGGCTCTTTAAAAAAAAAAGAAAAGATGGGAGAAGGAAGGCTTTTTGTAGTAGAGAAGGTTAATAATGTTAGGGTTATGGTCAAGGTTTCTTTACAATCATAGAGAATTGTACATGCAGTGTTGTGTTAATGAGATGTATAGAAATTGTTTCTGAAAGTGTGTAAAGACTTTTATGGGAAGTAGTGAAAGTTTAAGAAATAAAGTGAAGCTTTAGTGTTGCTACTTATAAAAAAAAATCTACGATATGCTGGCTTTTTGTTTGCAACTAATATCAAGGCAGAGTATTTTTTTTTTTTTTTAATATCTAGGTGACCATGCTGTTGTGTGTGTCAGAATCAAGAACGTAGCAGTAGCTGTGACTAAAGCAGCTAGACTTCACCTGTTTCAAGCACAGGAATGGCAGAAGCTGCAGAACAGTATCCAAGATCACAACTGTATAGAGAAGTTCTCTAAAGCTCAGCTGACAAGTGAGTTGCTACTTTTTTCCCCCTTACGAATTAAGTTATCTGTGTGTTGAGAACCCTGTTATCTATTATTTATTTCAGTGAATTTGGACTTTGCATCAGCTTAAGTAAAAGCAGGACTTTGGCCTTCTGTAATTAAAAACTATGATAAAGAAATAAAATTGCTTAGCTTGCATCACTTCAGAAGACTTGGTTTGCAAGTTATTATTTAGTATACTGCTGGAAAATGAACAATCCTTGACAAATAATGACTTTAATGCAAACAGACAAATTTTATGACCAGTTCTAGTCTCACGCTCGCACTTATACACAACTCGGAAAGAGTACGCATTTGACAGAAGTTTTCATTTACTCGTTTAGTACAGTGATTTTCTTTAACTCATCTAGAAGTAAAAATCATTTTTTTTTAATCTCAAACTTTTACATAAAAAGATTGAGTATTTGAAAGAATTTTAAAATAATGCCATTGTAATATGAATTTGACAGTCAAATGTACAGTTTGAATTGTGACTTTTATTGCAGTGAAATGAAAAAAAAATTAGAGGCAAACTGGTGGAGCCTGTGCAGTTACCTCTAAACTTCTGAAGGGAATGCTAGTAAGGTGGGAGCATGTAAACCAAATACACAGTAAAAGGGTAATTTTCTACCTGCAAAGCTTTTTTTCTTCTGTTCTTTTTTTTTTTTCTTTCACAACCTCATGATCGTTAGTTTTTTGTCTGTAAGGTCATCTGTGAAAATTAATCTGGGTTCTGCTGCCTTACTTCGTAACTTGCCGGTATTATCATTTAATGTTCTTTCACCCTTTAATTTTGTAATTTGGTATTCATCACTGAATCTCACTTTCAAATGTTTTTTAATATTTGAGCTGAGGATTATACCAGTACAGATACGTAGGTTATCTTGTTGTCTCTTGTTTATGAAGAACATTTGTCAGGAGTATCCTGTTCTCCAGTCCCATGGAAGTGGCATCTTTCAAAGATGAGAAAACAAAAATAAAATTATATTTTCATTCTCATGATAGCACAGATCTGTCACACTTTGACGTACAAAACACATTAGAAAAGTTTTAGTACAGTATCAAAGATGAGCTAATCAGGACAAAGCTTGAGTATCCATCTAAATGTAGAAGAACAGTAGAACATTGAAGCATTCAGTTATTTAACTGGAAGACAAACATACTAAAATAATCATTGTTGCACCATTTATGGATCATAGTATTATAAAACCTACTTGAACCATAAATTTTCCTTTAAGAAATAAAATTAATATTAGAAATGTCATTCAAATATATCATAAGTGGAAACAGCTTCTTTCTTAAATACATTTCCTCTGTGGCCAGAATCCCTAGAGTAACAAATTGATCTCCTGAAACATTGTCATAATGAAATCTTACACAGATGTCATTTCTAAGGATGTAGTTCCCTTACACTTGATCTGAGCTGAACATAAAGTGCTGCTGAAATGGCTAGCAGTTGGTCCATCTCTTCTGTCTGTCCCAGCAGTGTGCTTGGTGTTTTCTACTGTGTCTAGGAATCATATGACCACGGGGTGAGTTGGATCTATTTGCTGATCTTGGGCAAAATCAATTGCATTTTTATTTTATCTTACTTCGTTTCCTGTGAGTTAGCTTACAGATTTGATGGAAAACTGATTAAACACATTCTGTGTGATCCTTAGTCTCAATGCAAATAACAAAGTGTCAGAATTCAGCCAAGAGTCAAGGCAGAGAGTAAAGACACCCCTGTCAGCTGCAGTTTGCCTTTCATTTGGATTAAGCACCATATGAAATCCTAAAGCTGTGTTTTTTAAAAATCTTGGGTTTTTTGAAGGTAGATGTTTCACTTTGTATATTTGATACTGTGGATTTAAATGTTATCTTTATTCAAAGGTGAGTTTTCTACAAACAAACTAATCAAGTATTTACTCCTATTTTTCTTTGTTTGTTTTCTTCCAAAGTGACTGTGAACCACACAGAGCAAAATCTGACAGTGTCCCAGATTCCTTATCCAGAAACATGGTATGTGTTTTATGTAGACAAGTTTACCTGCGAGGAGAATTATTCTGAATCCGAGGATATTCAGTTTGAAATGATCTTACTAAACCCAGATGCAGAAGGGAATCCATTAGATCACTTTAGCGCAGGGGAATCTGGTAAGATTTTTTTTCTTAAAATTAGATTTGTAAGTTAAGGATCTGATCACCCAAAGAAATCAGTATTTACTATGCTTGGAAAAGTACAGGGAATGGATAGCAGAGTCTCTAATATTTAATATTCTACTTTCTCACGGAGAGTAAACTTTAATTCATATTCTGGCATTACAGAAAAATCCTTCCCTTTCTCTAGACTGATTTTCCAAAACTTGCCTAACTGGAAGTATAGATGCACAAGGAAAGTTAGTGTCAACGTCTTTGCTGATAGTTATTTTTCCCATGTTGAAATTCTAAACTTCCTCTTGAATGTGAATTTAATCTCTGATTTTAGTGAATTCATGAAATTCCTTATCTGTGTAAAGTTCAATTTTGTACAACAGAACACACTGGCACATTTTGCCAGTACAGCTTCAGTTCAGTGTTTAGGTCTTTCTAAGTGTTTTAGTCACAGGCCACAGATTACATATGTGTCAGTCCTGATTTTATTTTACTTAAGAAATGCAATTTAAAATCTTTAAACGTGCAAGGAAAATCTTCTAGAAGTGACTTAAGACAGCAGCTAAAGAAATGCCTACATAAAATTGAATGCTTTGGACAATCCGAACCAACGTAACATATGCTTCATCACAGTGTTTAACTTCACTGCTTTGGGAGGCCTCATCGACATGTCGCTAACCTCCGTCTGTTGTAAGGGAAGAGCCCAACAGGCATAGTCTGCCTTCATATACAGATTTAACCACATACCCAAAATGAGCCTAATTGTTAGGCTCAGAATCATATGCCCTGCTAGTATTCTTGGTCTCAAGAGGATGTAGAGGGAACAAAGGCAGCTTCCTTTTTGAAGGGAAGAAAATATGCACTGAAACATTTAGCAGAATCTGTAAGAAAGTAGCACTGTTAATCATCCGTTTTTCAAGGCTTGTAAATTTACTTACCTGTCTCTTCTTAACTGTACTTCTTAATCTACAAACTTAGCTGGCAGTTATCACTTGATGAATTTTGTATCCAGAAGTGAATTCTAGGTTAATTTACTTATTCTCAAAAAGCAGTATTAGCATTCTTTTGCTAAATCAAGGGGCAAAGCAGCTATAAGACATCATGTGGCCCTAAAAGTGGTGTACAGACCTCCTAGAGAGGCATCTCAGCTTCCTTATTAATTTTGTAGGAAGACTGAGCACTTGAAAGCATAACTCTGAACAGCTTGCATGCTGAGTAAGGAGGAAGCAGCCAACTTCAGGAGGTGTCTTTTGAAGCAGAAAGATAAAGAGTGAAAGAAAGAATAAGAGATTTGATCTAAAATGCATATTTTTGTCCTTCATAAATCATGGGTTTGTATAGGTATACAAGAGACATGGAATGGCCCCAGATTTTTTTTGTTTTGTAATTCTTTATTACCTTATGCTCTTTTTCTCCAGCATCACTATATGTATGTCTAAAATTATTCATTTTAGCCATAAAAGTTATAGTACTAACAACTGTTCAGAACTCATCCAGTTCTAATGTTTTTCAGCCTCGATATTGAAATGTGTATAATTGCTCTGTTTCTAATTGCTGGGTGGAGCTGGTTGTCAGGTCTTAGTGGAGTTGTTTTGCTGCTGGAGAAAAAACATTGTTCAGAACCTGATTCTGTGGTCACCACTTGGTTTCAAGGAAGGTTGGAGAAGAAAAACATAAGTTTTCTGTAAGAAATGTCTGTTTACCTGTTTTTGCTTATAGCTCACTGGCTTTGACCCTTTGGGAGTCAACCCATATGAAGTTCCAAAGCTTACGGACAATAGAAAAGATTTCCAGGATCTGGGTCTTCGGGGAAGCATTTTATCAGACTACTGACAGATTGAAAATTAGAGGACCTCTGTTTTGTAGATAATATGAAAAACTTCGGCTTCAGATTGGTGCAAAAAAATCCACCCTATGAACTTATTATTGTTCTTAGTGCTATTCTTCTTTCCATTTTTCTTTATCTAGAAGTTTTCTCACTTGGTCAACTGTTCTTGGACTAATTACATGGAGGAAGAGTGACACCCAGTGGTTAAATAGATTCGACAAAAGTCTGTTCTGGGTCTCTCTTCATCTCAAATTGTGCCTTTAAAAACTGAAGAAAAAAAAAAAAAAGGAGCTAAAAATGAGTCCTTTAATAAATATGTTTCTGACTGATCAAATGAGCTACAATTATTTTCTGTTTATCAAGAAACTGTGTGCCACTTTATTCTATTCCAGTAATTGCTACAAAGCTATTTTTATTTGAACAGAATCTCTCCTACACTCAGAAAAGGTATTTTTGAATAAAAAATGCTTTGTCAGATCAATCAGCTCTCAGAAAAAATTCGCTGATTTTCCTGGATAAAATAGGCTAGGATTTACTTATTTTATCTGCACTACCACTTTTGGGTGACAGTTACTAAGTATTTCCCAGTGATTATATTAAAAAAACATATTTTGTTTTAGTTATTTATTGCTAGTAGCAACATTTCTTTATAAAAACTAAGCTGTATTTCTTTTTTTCACAGGATTACATGAATTCTTTTTTCTGCTTGTCCTAGCATACTTCATAACTACTTGCATATATGCACAGTCCCTATGGCAAACAATTAAGAAGCATGGACCTATGCATACTGTATTAAAGGTGTTAACAATTGCATTACTGTTGCAGGCTGGTTCAGCTTTTGCCAACTACTTGCATTTCTCAAGGTATCTTTGCTTATTTTTGCTTTCTGTCTTAAGACTTGAAGAACACTGTGTTGTAAAGATCAGTATATGATCTTTCCTGTGGTGATTGTTGCAAAACATAGGACTGACTTTTTAGAACTGTATCATTGCCTAAACGTACTTTTAAGCGACAACACACATTTAAGACTCACTCACTTAAAAATATTATCTTTTTATTCTTTTATCAGTTATTCTAAAGATGGAATAGGAGCACCTTTTATGGGAACTCTGGCAGAATGTGAGTATGCGTGTCTACTCTTTCTTACGTATTCCTACACATTAATCTGTATAATATATTAGCAAATACTGTTGTTGGACTGTATTATGATCTTGGACCATATCACTGTATTTTTAATATAAAATACTAAAAGCTGCACTTCTGAAAAACAGGTTTTATTCTGGATGTTTGCAAAACTGTATTTAAAGTTATACCATTGTGATATTGTTTAGGATTTTTTAAAGGATTTTCTTGTCTGAGGATTCCTTCCTACAAAAACGTAAATAAATGCCTATCACATGAGTAAATGCCTGAATACATTGAAGGGGTTTGCAGAGTTTGCATGATCTAGAGTAGCAAAACTTTTTAGGAAACTTAATCACATTTTGTGGAGTGTGTCATTTCACTAGCAAATTTAACATGAATTATAATGAAAAAATAAGTGTTTCATAGCTCAAGTGATATGATTAGAGTGATTCAAAAAATGCTTATGTAAAGAATTGATGCAAAGCATTTTTCTTCATTCTGTATAGATATTCTGAGTTCTCACTGGAACTGAGTTCTTATACCATCCCTTCCCAAAATGCACTAATTTATTTCTGATGGATTCTTCAGGGTTAAACATTGTTGGTTTGGTTGGTTTTTTTCTGTAGTTCACATTTGAAGCATTGTGTCATTCTTTCTAGGCAAATACATTGCCTTTTGATTGGCTTGAAGCACCCCAAGAAAGTAGTGCTGTGGTAGTGAGATAGCATTGGAGAGTAACAGCCTATATAGAAAAATATTTCCTTTCCTAGAATTCATTTAGAAGCTTGCAGTTGGAATTAACAGCCTCTTGATGGCACTTGGCACCACAGTAATTGCCTTTCTTATTTTAACCATTTGGGTTAGCAGGTCCTTGCAGCCAGCCTCTCCATCAACTGTGTTATTAAACTTTCCCTCTCATCTCCTGAAGTTAAATTAGAGAATGTGAAGGTAGTCAGAACCCCTCCCCTGTGAGAAACCCAGTGTTAACTACCCAGCCAGAACTTCAGAGAGAGTAGCTGCATGTTAGATTTTCTCTGTGTGAATTGTAGTGAAGAGCCCACTTCTATTTGCTTAAAGCAAAGTTTATTAAGAATAAAATAGTATTTTTTGAATCAATACCTGAATTTAAGAAATTCGGCTAAGAGAATGGGAAGCGACCACCTGGCCCTGGCTAACGATCCCGGAGAAGGGAGGGTCCCGAAACTCACGGAATGGAGACAACAGTTCGAGCATCCCAGACCGAGAACCAACTGGGGTGTGGTGGGGAAAGGCCTTGGAAGAGCGATCTGGAGCCAGAAGAGAGATCCGAAACCGAAAGGACCCCAGAACAGAAAGGGGAAAGGGACGATCTTCCAGAGGGTCCTCACCTATATACTGGGCATGACATGTATGTTATGGAATAGATTATTGGCTATTCTGAGTTTTCAGTCTTAACGTAAGAGCAAATCCTAGGCTAGCAACTGGCTGTCCTTCTTTCCTGGTCTGCCATCCTTGTCAGCAGCACAAAACATCAGTTCTTATCAGCTTCTTCTGAGCACAAATCCAAAACACAGGCTCTTGCTAGCTATTATGAAGAAAGTTAACTCTGTCTCTACTTAACCCAGGACAGACGTTCTCTCAACCTTCTTACTTTCTGGCAAGGTGTATGAGATGTCAAAGATTAAAGCCAGTACTGAATTTTGTCTTATACCATTTTGTCTGGGAGTCTACTTGAATTGTTGCCATGCTGAAGCAGAGCAATATCTATATCCAGAATGTGATTGAGAGATGATGTCTCGCTATAATTTATAGGGCAAGTTATCTTGAGGAGTGACAGAAAACAAAATGCTCTCTAGAACATCCAGATTTGTTCAGTCATTTCTCTAGCTTGGATTTGTGACACTGGTTTGGTATGCTTTGGCTTCACATATTTTTTCTGGTGAGTACTGTGTCTCCATAGCTAGCACTGTAAAATAATTCCAAGATCATTTTGCCCAAAATCCCTGCCAGTCCATTTTTTAAAGAATGAGCAAGTTTGTATTTACTAAAAGCTCTTGACATTTCTTAAATAGCAAAGGTGTCTGAATATATTAAGAAGCATTTAAGCATATAAACTGTGAGAATACCAAATATATCCCAAGAATAGCATGTTGAAGTCTGGTTTATATCCATATTTTCCTAGTATTGCTGAGTGTTAGGGAAATATTGTAGCTGATCTTCATTTGACACACTTGCCTTTTGTGTATATTGATCACCTTACCGTGGCAACATTTTCTGTGCCAATATTTTTAGTAAATGTGGAAGTACAGTTATCTTTTGTAATACAGTCCAGTTGTATAAAAATAGAAGTTTGCTTTTGTGACATAGCAATATATTTCTCATACCTGATACTGTGAGTGAAAATTACAAATAAGCAACAAATCTAATTGAACTAAAATATTAATCAAGTGAAAAAGAAGGCATCGTTGTGTGTAGTGCACAATCTCTAGTTTCTGAACCAAATTTGCAATTTACATAATATAAGAATCAATTTCTCCTGTGCATTTCTGCTACACCAGTACAACTCTAAAGTCCAAACACCAACTTAAAAATTGTTCAGTAAGTTTCAGTCAAAAAATTATCAGGTCGAAAGCTAACAATCATCCAAAAAGAAATCTTCTCTTCTTTCTGCTGTTACTACTTCAGCAAGGCTAACAAGTAAAGGCTTTAATATATTCTAGCTTCAAGTTTTCTTATTCAGACGCAGCTTCAAACACAGGTTTGAGATGCTGATTAAAAATGTAACTTTATGGAGTATGTGCTAATTGCTCCCAAGCAGAATGAAAAAAATGGACATAGCAAAATGAGGCAATGAAATGAAATACAGGCAAGTTGTTTCTCCAAATGAAGTTTGTGTTAGGGCTATTCATTATATTTTCCCCTTTAAGTATCCGAGAGTGCAATATGTCCTAAATATTTGTGCTTTCTTTTGGAAGCTACTGCATCCTTAAGACAAAGTGACATTTATTTAAAGTACAATGCAATTACCTGATTTTTTAACAAAATCTTTTCAAAGCAAAGGAAGGAGTTCATTTCATCATGTTTCATGTTTGCAGTGTGATTAATATACACATGATTTTAGTTCTTTAGTATGTATAAGTCTATTTATGCAGATGGATTCCTGAGCCCAGATTTACTTGACACAAGAGTGGGATTTGGAAGGATGGGCACTGTGCCTGTGTTGTTGGAGAATTGCAGTAACTAAACAAAAGCTGATAGTGATCTCTTTGGTCACTGGAAGCTACTCAAAACATCCACATTTTGTGGCAAAGCAACCTCAGCTTGTCTGTTGTGACTCTATTTTTCTTTTGTTTTCAATAGTGTGTGACATAGTCTCACAGATACAAATGCTGTATTTATTGTTGAGTCTGTGTATGGGTTGGACGATAGGCAGAATGAAGAAATCTCATGGCAGACCTCTTCAGTGGGATTCCACTCCAGCATCTACTGGCATTGCTGTAGTAGTTGTTGTTACACAGGTTTGTATTTTATATTTGTTCTTATACTGAAATATACAGCTGCTATTAATTATGACAGAACCATGAACCAACTAATTTCAATATTTTATGAGGGAGGGAGTATCAAGACTGGAAAAAAAACCCCACAGCATAATGTGCACCCAGTTTTCTAATAGGTAACAACACCTTGTCTTTACTTTAACAATTTAAGGTGTAGTTCCACAGTATGTTTTTGTTCAGCAGTAAAACCACTTAAGAAGTTCCCACAGTTTTCCGAACTCCTGGTTGTGCCAGTTATTCATAGCATTATACTGTAAACCAGATCAGTGGAATTGTCTAGACGGAAAAAAAAGCACAGTCATTTTACTCTTCTGATTTATAATTTGGTCCTGTAATAGTTCTAATCAGTACAACTGAGGGTTTGTAAACTACATTGTGGGGGATTACGACAAGCAGCATGAGAGGAAAGGTGAGAAAAGCCACTGTGATAAATTCTTTCTGTCACTAAAAAATTTGAAATCCTGAGTGTCCTCATCTTAGAACCACCCAAACAGGATGTCTAGTGGTATTTTCAGTCAATATAAGGGAATTCTTGAATGCTTTATGCACAGGGTTGGTCTTGCAAATACACAAATGGTCTGACACATAATTTCATTTAAATATTTTCCATTAGTATAAATTAGAAAGTCAGGTAAACCAGTAACTTAAAAGTAAATTGTAATGGAGATCATCCAACCCTGGTGGTGCCTTTTGTAAACAAATTTTTTTAAATCACAGCATAAAGACAAGAGAATCTGAAAGCCATTGAGAAAAGAGAAGAGCAGGGAGAAACTGGAGACAGTAATGAGGAAGAGATTATGCTGTGGATTTTGTGCCTTTTGAGTAGTATCTGTAATTAGTTCTGCTGCCAAACTAAGTAAGTGGACTGCTAAAACATTAAGAGTAGCTAGGAGCTGACATTTCTTGCTAATTAAGAATATAAAACAAAGGCTATTAAGGTCAATGGCACTGTTGAAATGTAAAGATAGGCTTATTCCACCTTGCTTCCACACTCATCTAGCACCAGAAATTTTACATGCTGGTAGTAAAGAGGACTTCTAAAGTGTTTAATTTTATTCATGCTTCTCCACTTGTACATACATATGGGTGTGTTAGTACTTTGTCACTTGAGACTGGAAAGTTTTTTGTTGTTGTTTCCTTTTTACTATACATAGAAAGGACATTCAGTATCATCATCTTGATCTCTTTTGGTTTTTACTTGTGGTAAAATTTGGGGTAGGTATCATACATATATGCTGCTTCCCCCAGTATTGCTCCATTACACATTTGTGTTGGCTCTTTGAGCACCACTGGAGCATTGGCACAAAATTGGCTCTTCTACTTTTCTGACAATTTCTTCTCCTGGTACCATTGGGAACGTTAGGTTTGGCAGGAGTCTTATAGGAACAGAATATGGATATCAGAGTATGTCATTGCCTGGGTGGTTTTGCACCTCCATATCAGTGTCTGCTGTCTGCAGCAAAAGTTCCCTGACACCAAGAGTATCCTTGCCCCTTCTGGAGAGGATGTTTTCCGTCTCATGGTTCAGCACATGCAGAGTATACCTTCTGCCAGATTTCTTCTTAATACAGAATGTGTCTGTTGGGCGCAGGGGAGCAGGATCCAGACCACATCGCCTCTATCAAAGGTGGTGAGCTTAAGACTTCATTCTCTGTATTAGTCTGTTGTTCACTGATCTGTCTAGACTGACATGGGTGTTGGACCTGCTGTAACAGGACAATCAATGAGCCCTTTTAATGATTAAAAACCTAGAATAACCTCCTTTCTGTCCTGCTCTTTCCCAGAGATTCTTACGGGAGAGCCAGCTTTCTCCCATGCCAGAGGTTGGACAGACTTACATGGATAATCAGAGATGTTCTGAGGACTTGCTGTGGAGGGTGCTGGAAACCACATGCATGACCCTAATGCAGCAGATAGAGATTGAACCATGTTAGTTTTACTGACATTCTACACTACCTGTCCTCATCTCATCTCATCTTCAGGGAAGTCAAGCAAGTGGACAGCCTGGGAAAACATGTTATTCTTCAGCTTAACTGCAGTTTTGACTGGCAAACTATCTGACCCTGTTTACCTGTTACTAGTTCAAATTACTCAGCAGATTTTCAAGATTTTTCCTCCTCTTTGTACTGATGCTGTGGATTCTTTCTTTTTTTACTTTCAGAAACACCAGCAATTTCCCAGACTGTGTTTACAGGTTACCATCAGTGTAGGGTGGACACAGCCTCATAGTCAGCAAATCTCTTGTGGTCTTTGCGGCTGCAAAGAGGTAGCATCTCAAAGGAGGGCTAAGCCTGCCATTCAGCATCTCACTTTGCCTTAACTTGTTCTTTATTTCATCCTCAGAACAAAGATTCCCAGGCCACTCTGTAGTCATTAAAGATTTCAGTCTCTGCTGCTGAGACACGAATCTTTTTCAAAACTTTATTGATGGCAGGCTTTTCCCATTGCATATACCTGAGCAGTTTCAGCTTTCAGGGCTGATCAGAGTGGAGTCAATGGCTCTACAAAGATAGCTGATCACTTTGAACCTGACCAAAATGAGATAGAGTCTTACTTCATTAGATGTCACACTTCACAGGGTTCTTAGGTGCACCCCAACAGTGTGCTTAGAATGAGCTCTACCTCTGATGTAAACTTTTTTTTCCTGTACTGGCATTGCATGACATCAGATACCCAAGTACTAGATATGGTTAGAAGCAGCTAGCTAATTCACATTGCCTTGCTGCTACTTTTAATTTCCCTTTTGCTTTCCCCTTTCCCTTGCTTCTCAGAGATTATCTGTCACATGAGAACCTGCCTCTACTGAATATTGATATGTTATCTTGGCTTGCCATAAAGTCAGTGTTGACATAGCAAAGGGGAGGAGGGGTTCTATCATAATTGTTTCCTCTTGTCAAAAATGAAGAGTGTCTGGTTCTTCATTGTATGGATGTGGAGGTTCAGCTTGTATATCTGGAACATCAGGATGATGTCCATGGCAAACATTCTTCTAGCATTTGAAGGGGAAGACCAGTACTGGACAGTGCATGGTGTCCACTGTGAACCAAGATAGGTCAGAAGTATGTGCAGGTGAAGTCAGGCATTCTGAACAGTGTATTATGGAAATAAGGAAATGGTCATTCTCCTTTACTTTATGAAGAAGCAGTTGTGACTTTAATGTTGGACATAGCTAGTGCGAGTCATCTCTTCAGCTTCCTAGCTCATCCAGTTCTTTTGTCTACAGCCTAAGCAGAGTTGTTCTTCTGGATAACAATTAGAATTTCCCCATGATTTATTCTTGGAGTTCAAACGTAGTTCTGCTCACTGCCAGCAGAAAGGTGTCTCTGATATCCACTTCAGCAGGTTGGTATCTGGGTGTTTTTTCAGCTTGTTCCTGATTCTGCAGTGTAGTGAGCTGATATATTCCTTTCTGTGGTCAAGGTAAGGGAGCTGAGGGCTTACTGACCTTAATTTCTCAGGCATAGCCAGCCAAAGAGATTTTGACTTCAAGATCCTGCTTGTCTATGAAATCTCTTCCTCCATTGAGAACAGGTTGCATAATCCATTGTAACCTAGAAACACTCCGTAGTTTTTTTTCTGGTGAGTAAGAACAGTCCCAGCTCATAGTAAGAGCAATGACACATGTTCACCTTGTCTGAGTTTCCAGTGTGTTGCACTGACAGTTCCATCTCTGCCTCTAATGCCTCCACCTTCTACTTATTTTGGAATAATCTAATGAAACTGAAGGCAGATGGACTTCTGTGATCTTACATTGCTGTCACTACACACAGTCTTTGATCAAGTGATTCCTGTGTTGTTTACACTCTTTAAAGGGCTAGTCCAGAGAATATACCCTGGTGTCAGAAACTATTTTCCCATGAGGATTCGGACTTTGTTCTCATTATTCCTTTACTCCAGGTCTTTGTCATCTTCTCATGAAAGTGGCTTCCTTCATTGCTGTTACTATTGTTGTAGGTTAAGGAAAATTCAAACCCTCATGAGTTCTGTTCTTTAAGCTATCCCTGGGATCTATCTCAATTTTCTTCTTAAAGCAGTATCAGAGTTGCATCTCCATCAGCCTATATTTCTCCCCCCAGATGCATGCTTTAGTCAGAAAGATTCTATACATAGGAGGTGGTTGGGTTTTTTTATTTTCTCAGACAGCGTATGTCCAGTCCAGGGAAGTTAAATGCTTTGGCTATTCCCAAGTGTAAATATCTAAAGGAAAAATGCTCTGTAGAAGACTGCAGTGATTCTGTAACTGGTAGAACCCTTGTTTGTTCCCTGAGCATATCTATCTGGACTAAAATAACTTCTGTGATAGGAATTAATAAATTTCGTGCCAAAACTAGGGCTGTAGGCACAACTTTACAAAACACTGTCCTATATCTCAGGGTTTCAGGAGCCATTTAGTCTTATTTCAGTCTTACTCCTTGACAGAATTCTTAGTCAAGTAATTTGATCATTTGAAGATGTTTGCTTGGAGTTACTCAGAGTGTTATGGTGGGAACATTTGAAACCTGTTGGTCAGATTGTTTACTAGTGATCAGTGATGCTCAGACGTGCATGCTTCCCATCTGTCCCTCTCCCATCCTTCCATTTTCCATCCAGGTAGTTGAGGAGTGACTAAAACGACAGCAGTGTCATGGCCTAGGTAAAGGAGGGGAAGAGCACGAGAGTACTCTCTGAGGATACTCTAAGTGAAAATGATCCTGTCTCTACTGATAAGGCTCAAGGACATCCACCTTTGGAAGGCACAGGAGGATTGCACTTTTTTTTTAGGAAAAGAAAAGTTAATATCTGTATCCTTTTTGTCTTTATGTAGTTAATGTAGTGAGAGAGCTTTTGAATGTGTTCAGAACAGAATCTGACTAATTGAGATTTCTAAATTGAGGCATACAATGTCTGCTTCTGAAGGCTGTCAGTGCTACCTCACTTATATGAATCAAATTTGCCTACGTTTCTTCAGAAAGCCTGCTTCATTAGGCACTTGAAACCTAAGTGCAAGTTAGATGTGAGCAGTAGGTAGACTGGATTCTAGTGTATATTCAAGTCTTAAAATGCCATTCAGCTGCTGCATCATGCTGGGAGAGTCTAAACTCTATGGGTATTCTAATTTATAACGTTAACATTCGCAAAGTCTTAAAAAGGTATTCTTCAGCAAGACCCATTTTTTATGCAACAAGTAGGCACCTGCCTTCTGCCCAACTAAGATTCAGAAACTAGGGCACTTCCTAGCCTGTTTTTCCTTTAAGAATCTATCAATATTATTTCTTACAGGGCTCCTACAAAATTGGATTCTGCAGCAAGTGGATACAGTGCTGAGAGTTAAGAAGGATTCCTGTCTTTTGCATAGTTATCTGTTGGCTAAGGCGTTTGTCCAGATTTTGAAACAGCATTTGGAACCTGTGATGCTCCCTTTCCTGGACCCTAGGAGGTTTCCAAGCCGGTTGCTTGCAGAGTCAGGCTCGCTCCCAATTTCTCACCTAGCTGATGTTGAATTCTTTTCTTCACAATGGCACAGCTTCAATAGAAGGGGTGGAGAGTGGCCCACCCAAGAACAGCCCATAGCCTTGCAGTTGGGGAACTCTCCAAGAAGGTGGGAGATGTGAGTTGGATATCCTTTAGGCAAAGAAGGGAATTGTGGGAGATCCAAGTTCAACCTGGGTGAATGCTTGAGCCTTGAGGCTATTGTATAAAAGGGGCAGCAGCACCACCCTCTTACTTCCCCATCTTTAAAAAGAAAAGTGAATCCTGTTAGGATTTTGAAAGAAAAGGCGTAGTCGCCTGCCTTTGAAACAAGCTTTACAGGTTATGGATCCCAAGTGGAAGGAGACACCTCCCTGTAGCTCTGTGGAATCATTTCAGTGGGAAAAAAAGGCCGGCTGTTTAACTAGACTATTATTTTGGATCTTATGCTAAAGTGCCACATTCCTTCTATCCAAATTAGAGGAAACTTTTAACTTGTCAAACTTTCTAAAAGTTATGGAATGCACAAAGTGAGGCTCTGTTCTGCCGGTTGCACTTAGAGTAACAGGTAGTGCCAAAAGGCAGTTCAGCATAGGAGGTTTTTGTGTAATATGGTGGTCTCCAACAAGCAGAGCGTGACCAGCAGATAATTTAACCTTTGATGGGAAGATTAATTGAGATTCAGTGTAACCTCTTGTTTACTCTAAATGTGCTTTCTGTTTTTGTTCTTTTCCAGAGCTTTTTATTAATTTGGGAGCAGTTTGAAGATACAAATCACCACAGCTACCATTCACACCATGGCTTAGCAAGCGGACTGCTTATTGGCCTCAGAGTTTGCCTAGCTTTGTCACTTGCTGCTGGTCTTTACCAGATCATCACAGTGGAAAGAAGCACGCTGAAAAGGGAGTTCTATATCACCTTTGCCAAAGTATGGGTTACATCAGGGAAACTGATCCCTTCTGCTGTAAATGTAATTGTGGCATGCAGCTGACTGAAGCACTAAAACTCCATAGGAAAGTTAATGTTTAAGTGTCTGATTTGATTAAATAGCACCCTGTCATCATACTCTCAGTAGTCATTTTAATTTGACAAGGAGTATAGAGCTTTCTTAAACAGAAATCCCACCTTTCATTGTGTGGTTTTTGTTCTGTTGATTGAAAATTAAACAATGGATTCATAAAATAGACAGAAATGTAAATGCAGTTCCTCTAACTGTCATCTCTTTCTTCTAAGCTGGCATGTAGACATTTTATAACTTATACTCATCTTCTCTTTCAGGCCTGCATTCTCTGGTTTTTGTGCCACCCATGTCTTGCAACCATTGCTGTAATATTCAGAGAATATCAAAGAGAAAAGGTATGTACAGGCAAGATAAAAGAGATGGAATTTGAATAGTAGTTGTTCTTCATGTTCAGTGTTTGTTAGCAAACTCATGCTCTTAGGCTGTTAATCTTATGACCCCAAAGCAACTTGAAAAGTCTTAGTCACACAGCTCTCATTGATGCTAATGTGAGTCATATTTTACAAAGGCAGACAGGGTTTGAATCATCTAAAGGTAATAATTTCTAGGTTAAGGGAGGGAGAGGAGGAGACTGTTAAGTCAAAGGAAAATGTGGAGGGGGTGTTTTGTTTTATTGTTTGCTTGTTTGCTTTTTAATTAAAAACACCTTGGGGATTCTTTTAACAAAGCTAGTAGAAAGATAAATCAGTGGGGTTTTTTTGTTGTTTGCTTTTTAGTCTTCATCCTTTAAAAGCTTTATGTGGCTAAATAGGTCAGGGAACCTGTAGCTGAACTGTATTTTTCAGATTAAGAATCTGGCCAAATATGTAGTTTGGTTTGTAAGCTCTAAAAGGTTAAAAACAAAGGTGGACTCACTCTGTTTCTCGGTTGCTTAAACATATTGGGAGCTAGAGAACGAGAGTGTGGAGCCTGCCATATTCAGATAAAGTGCACTACTATTCTCAGGTGACTGACTACCTCATTCCAGCGTAGAGTCTGCTTCTTTTCTTTATGGTTATAACCATCTGTGCATTTGTATGCAAATATTTTTGGAAATTGAACTTTTATTTGTGTAAAGGGTATGGAAGGGAAAGAAAAAGGTTTCATGAAAAATCAAACTTAGTATTTAATTTACTATATATTTAAGAAAAGAGAAGAAAAAGAAATCCAGGGAGAAAAAAAGACTCCTAGAGGCACTAATGAAGAGACTTTTTTGTTGTTGCTTGATGACATCATCAGGGCAGGAGTACAATCTCTAGAGGTAGGATCAGTAAAGGAAATTTTTGGAATATTTTGAGATTTTGAGCTTACTGAAAGAAGAGAGTACAGTTGCTCTACTCTTGCATTTGAGCAAGTTTAACCGTTGCGTGCAGCTGCAGTTCCTACATTGTGATAATTTAGCTGTTTCCTTCTTTAAATGTTCTTCAATACAAAAAACAAATGCATGATCAATAAATACCATATTTGTTTAAGAAAAACATGTATTTTAAAAGACTCTGTACATAAACTGAGACTTTTGCTTTCTCAGAAACAGTAGTTACTTTTATGTGTTTGATGAATATGGCCTTACGCATCTTTTACAGATTAAGAGACTTGAAAAGAGGTCTGGCTAAGCGAGATTGATAAATTGCTTTGTTCCATGATTGTGCTAGTGCAAAGTGTTTCCAGGCTTCCCCCGCCACCCCGCTCTGTTTGTTGTAAGAATAAAATATCTAAACATCACCTCTGCTTGTGAAACTGCATGGGTGGTGAATTGCAGCTCTGAAATTCCCCAGAACAGAGACCGCCAGAAGGGCTATGTGACTTGCCCAGGGCTATCTACTGACTTAAAACACCCAGGTGTGAGAGTCTGAATCCTGGACTTGAGATTCATGTTCAAATCTTTTGTAACTGCAGCAGCATTAAACGATTTAAAGTTAAACCTCAAGCACTTACACAGTATGCTGATAGAAATTTATTGTGGGTTGTTTGGTGGGGTGGTTTTTTCACTTACTTTTTCCTTTTCTGTCTTTTTTTTTGCCTCTATAGATTATTACCATGGGTGTTATCCTCTGTCAGTGCATCTCCATGGTTATCCTCTACAGACTTTTTCTATCTCATAGTCTATATTGGGAAGTATCTTCACTGTCATCAGTGACGTTGCCACTAACAGTGTCCTCTGGACATAAAAACCGACATCACTTCTGAGATGTTTAGGAAGAACACATTATGTAATAAATGTGCAATAATAACTTAAATATACAGGTATTTTTGTCACAGGTGTGTGATACATTGGTTTCGCTGGAAAAATGAGTGATAATATCAGAGCACTTCACAGACCTTTGGTCTGACAAAGTCCCTAGATTTATCTGTTAAAAGTATTCTGGAGCTGAAAAATCCGTAATTTTAATAATTCTATAAATATCATCTATATTTAGCATGTGGTGCTGAGCTGTATCATTCAAAAGTACAGTGAATCTTTTCCATTCACAGACACAAAAAAGTGTCCTTACTTTATATCAATACTAGGTTTGAGTGTCTTATAAAATGCAGTTCTTAAAACATCTACAAGCTCAAACAAGTCTGAAACAGGCCAGTTGTGAAATTTGTGTGATGCGTAACAATGAGTACAAGTTCTTTTATTTTCATGCTTTAGAGAAAATGTATTTTATGTATAAGTATAAAAGAAGGGGAAGCAAAGAGGGAGAGTCCTCTAGAAAACACATGTAAAATGTTCACAACTGAGTGCAAGAAACTTTCCTTTATTATTTGTGCAAAAGAAAAGCCTTTTTTGCAACTAATGTTCATACTGGTTAAAATTTTAATGGAAATGAAAATAGGGTTTATGTCTGCCTTTTCTTTTTTAAATACATGTAACTAAAAATTTCATCCAGTAGTGAAGGTCTAAACAGTATTTGAAGCTTAGAAGACATAGCAACATAAAGGTAATTAAAACAGCAGGCTTGCATCTTTTAAAGAAAAAAAAAAAAGGCAAAGAAAATGGAATGGGTGATGTGGTACTAGAATTTTAATCCTGATATAATTCATTTCTGTTACATTGAGGATTCAATCATAATTAAGCCATATACACAGATTAAATTAACAGAAGCATTTCAAATAAATGTTGGTTTCAGTCATCAACTACCCATGAATTCCTGCCCAAGGATACTTAATCAGGATTAAATTTTCTATGAATAATTGAAAAACAAAATACTCACTGGATTTGTTATAATCCATGTTGGCACTGGGTTCTAAGTAGTTGCCATCTTCCATCCATTGTAATAAAGCCATACTACTTTGGGATGCCCTAGCGTTCAGAAAGCCAGTGTAAATATATACTTTATTGAAGTGCCTATTTATTGAATGTGATTAAATCATGCTGACTTTTTTTTCTTCCTTCACAATAAGAATATACCTATTGCCATTGTGACTGAAACCTTTCTTTTTGGATTTAGTTTGGTATTTGTCAAATTTTAGACTTCTTTTTGTACATGTGTGTTTCTTCACAACATGCATTTTATTTTCTAGTAAAATGAATGTTTGTTTCTTCTTAACTGTGTGTATTTAATTATGTCCTTATGAAGATGTTAAGACACTGGGGTTCCAGCTTTAAAATAGCCCTAACTTTTCTATTCATGTGTGCCTCAGTTGTGAGCATAGTTGAAACGTAAGTCTATTCCATTTTAGTTTAGAGGCAAAACTAGACATTTGCCTTTGACTAAGGCAAAATGGCAACATGACAAAGTTGCTCATTAAATCATCTCCTTTTTTATTGTTTGTAATTCAGATCAAGAATGGCAGGTTGAGGCTAGAAAAGATGAGATATTATGATTTCACACAATCTTGAGAATGATTAAAAGATTAATTATTGCATTCCTCTGATAACCACACAAAAATATTATTGGTTAAAACTTCAGTCTTTATTTCACTGCTTATCTCTGTACTTTTCATCTTCTCAAGAAAAAAAAGCATCCTGTTTTTGATAAGTCTCTAATAATGCAGTAGAAGAGTTCTATCTGTCCTCATGTATATATGACATGAAATGCACACATAGAATAGAATGTTCTGATAGACACAAGAACCACTTTTACAGTTTATGATCCGTCATGGTAGAAGTTTTAATCTATGCAGAAAACTTGTATGTGACTTTCAGAAGAGGCACTCTATTTGTTTCATTCTCCAGAAGTATTTTCTTACTGCCTGTAGTCCCTCTGGCTTCAATCGGTCAGTGTTAAGGTAAATGGTATCTTAATTTCACCTTATAAATATACCCTAAAACAATTAATAAAATGAATTCATAGTTAATCTGAGTGTAAATATGAAGCATAATATGTTGTCTTTTAATCTTTTACAGGTTGCCCCATAAGCCAACAGCTAATGTTATCCTCTAAGTTTGGCATTGAATCCAACAATTTGAAAATAAAAATTTTAATTTTGCTATTAATGTGACTGTAGCAATGAAGTTTCTCATGGTAATCGGTACAAAGGACATGCATTTCTGCCCAAGTCTACTAGCGTTCTTTCATAACCAATACTCCCCAGTTTTATATTGTTAAATGATTATTATATTGCCTGCTATAGCAGTAGGTCAGTATGACTGCAATAATATTCAAGATGTTAGCTAATTTGATACAGGGTATCTTTGGGGGGAGTCTTCAAGTATGACTAATTTACAAAGCTTCATACTTACCTGTACGGTAGCTTGAAGCTTACTGCTTCTGGATCATGCCCGAAGAGTGGTTTGAGTATGTTTGAAAGCCTATCTCTTCTTTCTAACTTACATCTTCTGTGAGACTAGCTGATAAGACCTTGCTTTTTTCATGCTTATTCACGCAGTTACCCATTTTATCAATTTGGTTTCATAACCTCATCTTGTAAGAATAGCTTCCAGCCTTCTTTCAGTTGTCTTCGATCAGTGCATCTGGACTGAAAAACTCTTTCTTTCTCTTTTTCTAAAATGTGCTTTCTGTCACAAAAGAAAAATAAAGTCACAGACAGAGGCTGTTGCATACATCTGAGGAACTCACAATGCACCCTACGTCAGCTATGCGTTAGGTGACCGCAATGGACAAAAGCACTCCTTTGGTATGCCTGTAGCCCCAGTGTGTAAGTGGTGCGGGGTTTGTGCCTGCTGAAAGCTGCCGCCTACCCGGTGAATTCTAGGGGAGAGCTGCTGCAGCTCCCTGCCGCCTCGCTGCTGCAGGGGACTGAAGTGTGTTCCCCCTGAAGGCAGGGCTGCCGCTGCTGACTGTGGTGATCAACGCTGTTCAGTTGATGTCAAGTGGTGACACCTCACTTGTGAGTTTCTGTGCATTATGCAGCTCTGTTTTAAATAAAGTTGCAGTTACAGAGTATACTAACTTTATTGCCCATGCGTTTTGCTGATCGGAAAAGGTAAGCGTATATTGACCCAACTGCAAACTGAAGTTGGTTGTGCTCTGAAGAAATACACTTCTATGTGTGAGAGGGCATCTCCTTGCCAGCCATCACCTTTTCTACTGGCACAGATGCCAGTTTGTGTCAATTATGATTTATTGGCTGGGGGAGGAGGATCCTGGTTCAGGAGAAATGAGAGTGAGATCACCAACTTGGTCTACGAGACCCCCCACAAACTATGAAGAGGGATTGTCTTGCATTGCTCCCAACCAGTGATGTGGAGGCTGGAGCAGTTCTAGGGCTTATCACAAGTCCCCTAAGCTATTTGCTCCCCTTCTGTGTAGAGTGTGTTTATTGTATGTTTATTTAAAGTGCTTCAGGTAGGAAAATTAATATTTACAATTAAATATATGTAAATAGAAGTGGAAAGGCTTGATTGGAAAAAATATCAAGTTTCTAATACATACTACTGTACTAAGACCTCCCACACAAGACAAACGTTTATAGCCAGATCTAATGAATATTCCTTTCTGGTTCCTGTGCTAATGGAGAACCATGGAAGTATCAAAATCTTTTTGTTTGCATCTCGATCCTCTGCAGAACTGGAATAATATTTTATTTGATTTGGCTCTAGTTTATTCTGTGCAATGTTATGCCTCTAGTTGATACAATAACTGGTTGTTGGGCTGGCCAATAGTGATGTTATGCTGTACATTTTAACTCCTTTTGTGGGACTACACAGCGTACAAAAAGCAGGTGATCCTTGCAAATGTCAAACGTTAGAAAGTATGAAGCTATTTTTTAAAGGATCATTCTTTTCTAACCTCCCTGATAGTCATGAGTAGACTGTGATTTTTCCAGTGAACAGCAAGTTCTGATTCCAGTTTTTCTTAAACCCTTACTTTCTGCAAATCTTTTTCCTGTCTTGCAAGTTCCATCTCTCCCACCGTGCTCTGTCTCTGCCTTCCCCTCTTCCCCTCTGTCACACACATGATTTTGCGTGTAATGGGTGTCATTTCTCTCTCTATCTCTCCATCTGTTCCCACGATCAACAGTCACAGTCCAGCCCCTACTTTGCATCTAGTATGCGTATTCTCTTTATCCTTGGTCTGTTTTGATTTCACGCTTTTCCTGTCTCTCCTTTGCCATCTCCACCATGTCTTTAGTCTCCCTAGCTAACAGAGACCTGAGGGTGTGGTTTGACATCACAGCTGATTTGGGCTGTTAGCTGCCCAAAAAAGAGCGGCCCTGTTTCCCCATCCTCACACTGGTGTTGCTTCCCTTGGCACTGGCTGTCACCTGAGCATTTTTAAGTGAGATGGAGTTGAGGAGTTAAACTGGTAGCAAATTCAACCTTTAGCAGCAGAAGAAGAAAAAACAAATCAGTTCTCGGTGGTTTTAACCCACCGAACCAAGTCATCAGGATTTGATGAGTACCAGTGGAACTGCTGAGGATGGGGTAGAAAAGGCACATTGAAGAGAGGCAAGAGCCCTTGCAAGGTCAGTCAGTCTTTTGCAAAATAGCAGCCTTGGAACTCCTCCATCTCCTTTTTCTGTATGTCTTCTGCTGCATTTTGCATGGTAGGAATTGGCCTGTCCCTTCCCTTAACAGCTCCCTTTCAATAGTAGTGTTGAGGAGGGGCATTTCCAGCAAAAGGAAAACTGTTCAGATGCTTCAAAGTATTTTAAAATGAACAGGGTCAGTTGTGCCTTTGCAGCCTTCCAAAAGGGGCCAAGAGGCATCACAAACAGCCCCCAGTTTGCGGAAGGAGTTATGAGGGGAGAAAAGACAAGCACCATGAAAACAGCCATAACTTGAGTGGGTGCCAGTTTTTTCAACAGATGGCAGCAGTGTGGTAGAAGGCAACCAAAAAGATCACACAGCTTTTCACCAGGTCTGCCTGTGGGTAGGGAGAGACTTAATCTGAAC